AAGATGGATGGTCTGGTGGTTAATGCACTGGACTAGAACTCAGGAGAGCTGGGTTCAGTTTTTCCCTCTGCTGCTGGCTTCCCGTATGACCTGAGGCCAGTCGCTCAGGGCCTGATCTGAAGTGAACGGAATGACTCCAGTAGGCTTTGGAACAAGCCCTTGGTCTGTCTATGCTGCAGTTTCCCATCTGTAAAATGGGGATGAACCGTCCCTACCACACACGCGTGTTGGGGATAAATGTACTAGTGTGCGTGAGCTGCCCAGGTACTAAGGCGATGGGAGGCCATGTGAGGACCTAGACAATTGGTATCTCACCTATTGGCAATGCAACCTGTTCAGGGCATGGCCCTTGTGTTCACTCCTACTTACAAAGCACCTACCACACTACAAACGCCATCATAAGGCATCCAATTTAAAGCACCCCAAAAGGAGAGGGGATGAATACAGGGAGATCCACAGGTGCACAAACAGGAATCTCTTTAAAGCAAATGTCTTACTGGAAAGCATTTGCGCTGCGATCCCAAGTTTCCAAGGGACTCATGAATCTCTCCTAAAGCTTAATCATCAGGCCTTTGATTACTAAAGCAAAAACCTCGCACCCGAAGCTGCCTGACAGCCAAGAGAGGCATTGGGAAATGCTAGGCAATGGGATGAGACATGACTGCCATGGGAAACGGATGTGACTAAAGGATGATGCCGATGCCACAATGAACCCGACTCTGCTTTTGGCAGTGACAGGGGCAGGGGTTGGGAAATCTAGAGACCTGGAACTTCATGGGAACTCAGTGTTCATTCAGTGGAGTTCACCCTGACTGTAAAGGCTCTAGGACTGTATGTGAAACATGGTACAGACAGTGGTGGGTCTGCCAGTGGAAGGCATCTGGCACTTTGCCACACTCAGCCAAACTATAATCATTGTCACATCCACTTCCCTCCGTCCTGATTCTACACGCCGCTCACATCTGCCACCTTCACAGGTGGGGGCAGCTTCACACTGCAAAAGTCACATTCCAGAAGGGGAACCCACCCTCCCAGGAAGACCTCACTGAACAGTCAAGCAGCCACAGCAGAGGAGAGAGAGGCACTTTCAAACGTGTCCACAATTAATGAGCACACAGGTAGCTTAGGAGGGTGAAAGAGCCTTGGCTAAAACTGGGACCGAGAATCACCTGTGCTTGAAACAGCCCAGAACGGGTGTGCGGGTTCGTGCGTGCAAAAGGAGGCACAGCGGTTTCTTATACACCAACCTAAGCAACCAAAGACATGCAATCAGATGATTTGAGCGCGACCACACTAAACATCGGATGAACATTAGGTATTAACATCACAAGGCAGCTACGGACAGTCACATTTTCATTTCAAAACCTAGAATATTGTAGCATCATTTTGGTCTAATTAACTCCCAGTTAAGAGTCTGACATCACTATCCATGTTAGGGTTTCAGTGGTATTGGGGTCATGTTTCATGGACCACAAGTGGCTAATAATGAGGATGATTCCGTGTTTCTAAAACTAAACTGGCTCTTTGCTAAGAGAACTATTTACAGAAATGTTGTAACTGTAGCTAGCATTCCAGCCACGGGCACACAGACTGACTCCCTGGTGCCTCCTCCAAACTCTTCCCTCCTGTAGCTTGTGCTCCTCCTGCCAAGTTCCATGCAAGTTGCTACTGAGCCCATCACTGAAGTATCTGACCATTTACCAGGCTAACAGAGGAGCACTGTGAGATTCCTAACAGGCTTTTCTAGATACCTAGTGTTAAGAGCTGGTTGATTTTTTTTTTTATTATTATTCTAAACTCCCCCGCCCCCCCCTTTTTTTTTTTTAAGATTACCAGCTTTTGCATGGAAAAATGTTTTTTTCCGATTTTTCAACAGAAAACAAACAAAACCAAAAATCTTAAAAAAAAATAAAATAAAATTTTCTTCCCCCCAGCCCCCAGGTTTTGGTTATTTCCTCCTTCCTTTCCCTTTGTTCCTGCTCTGTGCCCACTTTTTCAGTGGCAAAACGGAAAAAAAAGTTTAAAAGAGGGGGAGGGGAAAACAGGAAGAAATAAAAACAAAACTAAATACCTACCAAACCTAAATTTCCATCCAAAAATCAGAAAATTTTCAAGTCTTTCCACAAAACACGTAACTTTTCAAAACAGCTGCACTGGTTTTGTCTAGACACCCAGTAGCCTTATGCTGCAGCTTCCTCCCCGTTTCTGAGCTCCATCTCCACCCAGGGTTCAATTCCCATTTTCCACGTGTCCCACGGCTACTGTAGCAGGCACGGACTTGTGTTTCCCTCACCTCTGCAGGACTGGGATGCAGGCACTTTTCTATAGCACAGCAGAGGCCCCACCAAAGCTGCTCCGGAAATAGAACCAGCTCAGCGGAAGGAATACATGCTCTGTGGAGAGACCCAAACCTACAAGGAAACTCAGAGGTCTCTATTAAATGGAGTGGTTCAGGGAACACACTGCCAGTGACACTAAAAGGCAAAACGCATTAGCAACATGGTAGATCCTCAGTTGATGTAAACTGGCGTAGCTTCATTGATTTCAGTGGTACTATACCAATCTACACTAGCTTAGGATCTGGCCTTGATAGACCTATGTAAATGCAGGGTCACAACCAATCACTTAAATGACAAAACAAATGTAGCCCTTTTTACTCCTGTCAGCCCTGCAGTGCTAACCCAGCTCAGGGAGAGGGAGCTGGATTCTTCTCCACCTTGTGCATCACCGACAGATTTGTTTATTAAGTTCCATTCAATTACGGCATCATTACAAGCAATGGAGGTTGCATTAGTGTCACTAAAGGACACAATTTGGTTTGCACAAGTGGTACTTACTGTCCCAACGGGGGCATGTCTGGACAGGAGGATGGTAATAGCCATCAGCTGACCCTTGCTGGGCACCATCAGGGCAACTTGCAAATGAGCCTAGACTACAGCTGTTATCTCAGCCCAACAAGTGCCACTGCTCAGCGAACTTCCCCATAGCGTGCTTGGCAGCATTAGAATATATGCAGCCCGAATGCCTGCAGCCCAGGCACCACTGATCACAAGGTACAGCTCCTCCTCCTCCTCCTCCACCTCTGCACCGTGTTTCTGGCCTCTTAACAGAGCCCAGAGAATCCAAAGCTGGATGTTCAACCTAGGGGGACCAGACAGCAAGCGTGAAAAATCAGGACGGGGGTGGGGGTAATAGGTACCTATATAAGACAAAGGTCTGAATATCGTCACTGTGCCTATAAAATCGGGACATTTGGTCATGCTAGCTCCACCTGTCCAGGAGAAGCTACACATCTAGGCACTCATCAGTGTGGTGATGAGCGTGGGATGGAGACTGAGCGCAGAGACCCAGATACAGACAGTGACAGAACATAACTTCCTAGGTGCTTTAGAACATTCACCAAACAGAATTTTCTTTCGATAGCAAATGCCCCAGTGTTACACTTAATATATTCCTTGCCCTTTCTCTGCTCCTTCCCCTTTGCTCTTCCCCGGAGGCCTTTACGAGGGCAAAGCAACGTTCTGCCAAACCTAACACAGCTGCCATGCTCTGCAGCCGTGCCATGTGCCAAACTGGAGGTTGACAGCTCCTTCCCAGTGACAGTGGACTGGGAGCTGGCACACACACCCCTGCAATCAGGAGCACAGACAATCATGTCCACCTCGTAGCTGTGAGGGAGATGCTCCGGTTATGGAGCTGGGTGTTGGAAGGAGGGTGTAGGTCTGCGGAATAATTGGCTTTCCATAGAAGGGACTGTGTGACTTAAGGAGAAGGAGCGACAGTGCAGAGGCAGCTTCCCTGTGGGTTCTGCACCAATTGCTTTGATGTTCTATCATGGTCAACCCTTATTAGGCCATATATCTTAAGAAGGCTTCACCTCCCCAAGCCTTGTTCTTGTTTCTGCCCTCTCTCTCTCTCGCCTGTGACTATCTGCGGCTGTAGAACCTTCCTGATACCAGAGGAGGCTAGTGGTGGATCTTGGTAAACCACAGTAATAACATTGTGCACAGCTGTAGCACCCTCCAGCCAAAGATTTCACAGAGACAAGGTGGGTGAGGCAATATTTTTTATTGGATCAACTTCCGTTGATGAGAGAGACGAGCTTTCCGGCCATGCAGAGTTCTTCAGGTCTGGGAAAGGCACTCCCAGCGCTCCAGCAAAAACGCAAAGTGGAACAGATTGTTTAGCATAAGTAGTTAGCACATATTGTAAGGGACCATTCAAGGCAGAGTGGCCTATTCATACCTTTGCAGCCTTAGGACAAAAAGAGAGGGGGGTTAGTGGGTTACAGATTGTTGTAATAAATCCAAAAATCCAGTGTCTCTGTTCAGTCCATGTTTTTTAGTGTCTAGCAGAGTTTAAGCTCCCAGGCTCGTCTTTTGAAAGCGTTGGGCAGGTTTCTTTTGAGGATGAGGATTGATAGGTCAGATATAGAGTGATCGCTTTGTGAAAAGTGTTCACCCACAGGTGATAGGGTGTTTTTGTCTTTTATCATTGCCCTATGGGAGTTCATTCGAAAGCATAGTGATTATCTGGTTTCACCCACATAGTTGTTCCTGGGACATTTAGTGCACTGGATGAGGTACACCACATGTTGTGATAGGCATGTGTAGGATCCAGGGATCTTGAAAGGTGTGTTGTGGAGGGTGTTGATCATTGTAGCAATAGAGAGATATCTGCAGGTTTTGCATCGGTTGTTCTGGCAGGGTCTGGTGCTGCTTTGAGTCGGTGTGCCCTGGTCTGTGGGGAGCTTGTGTCTGATGATGAGTTTGGAGAGGATGGGCGGTTGTCTGAAGGCCAGAAGTGGGAGTTCAGGAAAGATTTCTTTCAGGACGGTGTCCCCATCGAGTATGGGTTGTAGTTGTTTGATGATACCCCAGAGGGTTACAGTGTGGGGTGGTAGGTGAAAGCTAGGGGTGTGCAGTTGGAGGTTTTATTTCTGTACTGAAGCAAGTTCTCTCAGGGTATTTGGGTGGCCTGTTCCATGATGACTGCTTCTCTGGTGGAATGTCTTGTTTGGTGAAAGAGGTTTTAAGTGTATATCCTGGACTTTTGCCTCAGAGCATATTCTGTGGTATTGGAGTGCCTGGCTGTAGATAACACATTTCTTGGTTTGGGGTGGTCACGGGATCTATGAAGGTAGGTGTGGTGATCTGGGGGGTTTCTTGTATATAGTTGTCTGTAGGATTCCACTGCTGAAGCTGACTGTGGTGTCCAGGAAGTTGAGGTTAGTGTGGTAGTGTTCCAGCCAAAGAGAGTTTAATGGACAGGTGGTGGTTGTTGAAGTTGTGGTAGAAATCTATGAGGGGGGTTAAGCCGTCTGTCCAGAAGATAATAATCTCATTGATGTGTCTCAGGTATATCACTGGTTTCCAAGATGGGGAAAACTGAAGAGATAAGGAGATAAAGCAAATTTCCCTTGGCCACACAGTGAGTCTGGGGGAGAACCAGGTACAGAACCAAGGTCTCCTAGTCTTGGGTTTTAAATACAATGGTGTCCTCCTCCTAAAAATAGAGATGTGGCAGAGAGATGGGGCTGGAGAGCCCAGTTCTCCTTCCTCCCCTCCAACTCCAATCTCCTCTCCCTGCTGCTATGCCACCCCTTTCAAATACACCAAGAGGATTGGTGGCAGGGGCCCCACACCTTCCCACAAACAGGAGCCCAGAGAGGCCCTGCCTTTGGGTCTCCAAGCTCCCTCATTCAAGTATTTGTTCTTCCCATGAGCAAATGACAGAGCTGCCCTAACACACCTTGCACAGAGCCCCACAGACATGGGGACCAAGTGATGAGCAATCAAGTGAGCTCCAGCTGGAGACGGTTATGCTTGTCTGCTTCTCGCTGCCAGTCAGGGAATGACATTGCTCAGGTCAGGAAGCCACAGGCACAAATTAGGAGGAAAGAAACCCCCAGGGCTGTATGGGAAATAAGGATGCAAGATCTCAGACCTTCCCTGGGCATGAAGGTAAGGCAGGTCCATATCCTAGCAAACAGGGCATCACTCAAGAATGTTGCAGTTCCCTGAGGATGAACAGAACACAAGACTTTTCTTCACTGTAGGTCCAGAGCTTTCCAGGAGCCTGCAATAGGCACTTACATGGGGGCTCCATGGGACCTACATTGACGGTCTCAGGGACTCAGCGGCCCACCAGCACAGCTGCTGACAACCAAGGACAATGGTCACTTTGCACAGGAACCACCTGAAAGATTCTGGACCCAACTCTTTATCTGATGGAAGCTCTCAAAGGCACAGGATGAAGAACCTTTGTTCTCCTTCCCTTGCCCAGAATCGTTGCCCTCTCCTGGGGTGTTCAGTCTTTCTACGGCTCTCCTCACAACTCCACAATGGAACCCCAGCCCTCACCCTTTGGGGTGAAAGGGGGGAATTTAACTTCCATGTTCCATCCAGTCTTGGCCTCGGTTAGGCTTCTCCATTAACAGACCCGACCTCCATTAACAAACCGACCACCCTCTTGCAAAGGGAGAGAGTAATTAAGCATTCTCCTTGTTCAAAGAATCCTGAGCATCCTTGCCTCAGACTTCTCCAAGCAACCCAACCGTGACCTAGAAAGCCCAGTGGCTAGGGGAGACTTAAACCTCTTTATTCCTCTAGTCCTGGATTATCCCTATAGTGCTACCCCATCCCTGCCCTGGAGGAACCACCCTCCATGCCATGAAAGAGGATTTCCTCTCCATATTCACTCAATCCTGTCCTGCCCCACACCCACTGTCCTACCAACAAGATCCCCCCATCCCTTGGCCTGAAGAGTCCACTCCGTACTGGGAGGGAGAGAGGACTTCCTTTTCTGTGTCTGTTCACTCCCAATCATTGCCTTCTACAGTGCGCACAAGCCATCAAAAAGGACTGATCTGAGAATGCCAAACTCATGACATGAAGGCTGAGGTCCATATTCAGGCCCCTCTGATCTCCATGGCTGCAGGGCAAGACAGATGGGGAAGGTGTCATCTCAGCACCCAGAAAAGCCAAGTTTCCTTAACATTGGGATTGGAGGGAGGTGCTGTAAAGAGAGGCTCAAAGGCACCTTCCATCTCCCAGTTCCCCAAAGGCAGGGTCAGTCAACAGCGGGACCCTGCCCTACAACCTCAGTCTGAGAGGCGAACCACCAGGAAACTCACAAACAAGTTAGAGAAAGAAAAACGGCACGAAGCCATGGTGCTGTGTTGTGGTTCGTTATCTCCGGTTAGACTGGAGACGGTACAGCTGGGTTTCGGGAGAGCAGAAATATCAGCAATTAAAGATATGTTGTGTCAAAAAAACTCTAAACTGATTAAAGTTGAAGGCTCCGTTTTCTTCTTTTCATCAGAGAACGGAATCAAAACCTGCCTGGAAAGACGCGCTCCCCCCGTTCCCAGCGCTCCGAAGGCAGTGCCTGCATCCATCCTGCTGTGTCCCTGCATTTTAATTACCACCTTATTAATATTCATGAGGACAGGCACTCAAGGGGGATTGCAGTCTGTCATTCTCTCCTCTCACTCCCCCCCACCCCATCTCTCTGGGCTGAATCTGAGGTTTTTTTCCCCCTCTCTCTTTCCAAACAGTCGGTATACTGCAGATTTTGTGTGAGTCTGTGTGTGCATATTTAGCTGCATGCTCTCGGTGCCCATGTATGTAGCGGTGTATGTTTGCATGGGAGATGTGCATGATCTGCACACATCTGATGCATCTGTGTTTGCAGGTCTGATGCCTGTGTGCGCGATGGGCCGGTGTGTGATTGGAGCTATGTCATGTGGGAGCAGATACATGTGAGCGCACGTGGTGCATGGGCATAATGCATGCCTCTGGTTTGCTGGCCACTTGGACAAGTATGCGGGCATGCAAATGTGATTCCCATACGTGTGTTTACGCCATGCATGCCTGTGAGTGTGTCCAGGCGTGAGGGTACCTGCGAGCAAGTGTGCAAGAAAACCAGTGTGCAAGAGTTAGCATCCATGACAGTGAGAAGTGAGGGTGTGAGACGCATGTATGTTCCATGTGTGTGCGAGATGCGTGTTCTCATCCTGTGGTGCAACTCTATGTAACTACTATATTTTTCTGGACTCAAACAACAACGTGGAATCCTACCGCAAATGAGCGCAAATCAAATGAGCAGCGACCCTAACTGGTCACAAGCACTAACGAGCATCTCGGTGCCTGTAAACCCAGGCGGCTCCCAGCTAACGCACCCTCTCCTCTGCTTTATCTTTTCCTTATGTCTGCTAACCCGCTGTACCTGGGGACAAGGGGGTCCTGCACCACTCACCATTCCAAACAGGGACCAGTTTGACAGCGAAGGTCAATCAGTGCACGCACTGGAGCGAGCTCAAAAGCACTGCTGCAGGCGGGTGTAGGCAATGTGCCCTTGGGAAAGCCACTGTGCCATTGGGCTGATGGGGCCAGCTTGCCAGTAGGATGGATGACAACGTAATGGGGCCTGGATCCACTGAGGTTCCAACCTCCCGCATGGGTGGGAGGTTCTGAAATGCCACGGGCCCTTTATGTCAAGCTTGCTGAGTAGCGCACAGCTCCCGGAGCCTGCTCTCGGGCAGAAGGAGCTGGCACCAACCAGTTTGCTTAAATCCATAGTGTGAGAAGCTGCTTCCTCACCATGGGTGGGGTATCCTTGGAGACCAGCGCTCTGTGGTCCCAAAGGTCGAGACCCCTGCTGAACTCTGGGGCCTAGAGGCCGATGCTCCAAGCAACCAGTCTTACTCTGCCCCTTCCTACCGGTGTCCCCAGTGCCGCAGTGTCCTTGGCTGAGGCACTGGGCAGTTTGGGGGAATCCCAGTGGGAGGGGAATGGTGGCAGGGAGCCCCCCGATAGTTGGAGATCGTACTCCTGAACCAGCTGAGTTCTTTTCTAGCTGTAAGAAAGGAGCAGGGAGGAAACAAAGAGACTGTACATTAATGCCATCCTCCGATTCTCTGCTGCTTCTCCTCTCCCCACTCTGGGTGCCACTACAGTCTCCCAGCCAAAGAGGTGGCCGCACATTGCAGCATGCCCATGAACTTCCCTGCAGGCACTGTGCCCTGTCCACTGCAGATAGTTAGGGCCCGATTCTTCATCTCCCAGTGCCTTGTGTAGCCGTCTGCACTAGCGGAAGGTGGGTGTAAACGCTAACGAATGGGAGTGGCTGTGTTGCTTTGGGGTACAGGGCAAAGAAGAACTGAGCCCCTACCGAAGCAATGGGCCTTCTAAACCTGTGCAATCAGGGTTAATGGCACCGACTCACTCTGTGCCCTGCAGGACATCACGCCAAGTAGCACCAAGTGCCCTGAAGATAACAACCTTCTATCACCACATCCAGCACACTGGCAGGAGCCAGCCAGTCCAGGAGCACGCTCACAGTGGGATTGCACTGGACACGTGGCCCACTCCGTGCTGCCCACACGTGACGCGGGGCCAGCTGGGTTAGAGCCGGGAGAACTCTGGCCTGTGTTTCCTCGTGGGGCTCCCTTTCTCCTCCCCTCCACCACGCACCTGCGAGAGACCTGTCAGGAGACGCTCCAACTCAAAGGCTCCCCAGCGCCCCACTTGCTAAGCTCCACAAATATTTGAATTAAGGTCCCCCGGGGAGTCGCAGTCACAGAGTAACTGATTTCTCCTCCTTCATTATATCTCTGTGTAATTTACTGAGGGACGGGCCAGCAGCGTGTGCCTCCGTTAGAGAGAATTCCCAGCAGGAGCCTCGGAGAGCTCACAAATCAGGCAAAGGGAAGGCATTAGAATATGAAAGGTGACGAGGCTGGCTGCAGGAAGAGGGGCCTCCCCAAGATGCCTCTCTCTCGCCCCATCAGCCCAGAAGGACATTTGCTTTCCGCCCACTGGCTCCAGAGGGTTGTGCTGTTTGACACTCACTTTCTCCTGCTGGTTTGTTTCAGTGCAGCGTTAGCTGGGCACCAGGCTGGGTTCTGTCACTGACTCGTGTCACCTTGGGCAAGCCTCTGTGGGGACGTCTACGTGACCGGACCATGGCAGCTGACTCAGGGTCGCGGGGCTATAAAATTGCAATGTGGACCTCTGGGCTCGGGCGAGAGCCTGGGCTCTGAGACATCCCCCCGCCTGCCCCTCCCACATTTTATAACCCGTGAGCTTAAGTCAGCCAACATGGGCCAGCTGCGGGTATTTGATTGCAGTGTAGACCGACCTTATGAGCTACCGCTTCCTCCTCTACAAAACAGGGATGAAAAGCTACTGTTCTGAGATAAGAGTTAGGTATTCTTATTAAAAGTTAAACATGTGCTTAAGCACTTTCCTGGGCCTATTAATATGGTCTAGCAATCTATGTTTTTACAGTTTGTCCATCATTGGAATGCTAGAGCATATTTTTATATATATTTGTTTTGGACAAATACTGAAAAAATTTGAACAGCAACCAATTTAAAATAGAGTAAGGCAAACAAATGATGATTTTAACAGCATGTGCTATTAAGCTGTGGAACTCAGTGCAGCAGTATTTTTAAAGCAATTAGCTTAGTAACATCTTTTAATCCACATGAATCAGACTGGCACCCAGTTACACTGCTACAAAGGTACAATGACATGATCTAACGCTCATCTTCATGGTTCAAGCAGTAAGCAGATCACTAACTGGGGTCTGTTTCCCACACCCTGTATAATATGGCACAGTTAGGCATAGTACGGTATCTACCTCAGGTCTCTCTAGAACACGGCCATTAAAATACCTAGGCTTTATGAGCCTGCATTTTCTAAAGCACCCGGCATTGGCCACTGCCAGAGACAAGATACTGGACTTGCTGAACCACCAAGGTTGCTGTAGTACAGCAGGACCTGTATTCCAGAAATGCAGCAAACATGGGAGGGCATCGTTTTGCTGGATGGAAGCAGAGAGGAAAGTAGGTTTGGAAGCATTTCTGCTGAGAGCTGCAGCTTACAGATAACCTACAAACAAGGTTTAAAAAATTGGGCTTGTGCCTTTCTGGCTCAAGGACAGATGAAGAAAACCTGAACAGTTTTAGGTTTTTTTTAAATATATTTCCTTTTGTTTTTTACCTTAGAAATATCAGGAATGTCAAATCTTGCCTTCCCTGGCTTGCTGGAGGTCTTCTGGGCGGATATACACTGTCAGCTTGCACACCTTTACGTAAGGGGCTGGGGTGCTAAATCTTTAACAAAGATGAGCTTTCTCCAAAGCGTTCATCAGGAGTTGGAGTTAAATAGGCCTCAAGAAAAAAAACAAACAAAAACTAAAGAGCTACAAACAGCTGCACCAAAACGGCCTTCCCATCGCCAGTGCTCAACCTTCGCTCTCTTGACATTATTTCACTAGCGTCACACAGGCCACTGCCTTCCCGGGGACGCTGGGACACAGAGGATTGAAGTGAAGGTCTCCCACTGGAGCAATGTGAGAGCATGTGTGTGCATGCAAGAGCACATGCGTATGGAAAGAGCACGTGTGTGCATGAGCGAGCGCACCTGGGAGGTGGAGGGAGTGCACTGAGGAGACTTGCACACCTTTTGAGCATTGCTCTAGCCCCACTGTCTCATTAATGGGGACGTGTATGGCCCCAGGGACTCTAGCTACCTATCCTCATGGGCCATGGAAAATACTGGGACCAGCCCACATAAGGCAGCCTGACTCTGAACGGACGGACTCTGAATAGTGGTTGCATTTTTTCCCACACATGCAGCCCCGGCCACGTGCCTCTAAAAACACCCTCCCAAGCGCCTACCTCACTACTAAGTACTTGCCGGAACCCCACTTGCTCAGGCCGCTGGTCCCCTTTTGTTTGGAGACGCATGCATCCCTGAGGGGGACGCCGCCGCCAGGCAAGGCACCCGTCCATCTCGGCTACTGGTATCCGACAGCAGTCGCCTTGACAAAGCCAACCTTTGCCAGAGCGATTTCCTAGCCTAAGACCAGGGGGAAGGCGAGGTATCTCAGACACACTTCGGTGGCACTGGGCAGCTCAAACAGCAGCCACCATAGCCCACACCCAGCAGGGCTGGTCAGTGGGAGCTCTAACTGGTCAGTGCCCATCAGGCCCCCTGCCAGCCACCTAGACACCCAACCTCTCACCAACCTTGGTCTATTCGCTCTCTCTATCAGCAGCCGGTGATCAAAGTGCCCAGTGGAGCTGGGGGGTTGTGGGCAGGAGGGGAGCAATGCATGATGGTTCCCACTGGGGAGGGGGAAAAGGACTCCAGGGCAGCCTGAAAGAGGAGGAGGAGCGGGACCGGAGTGGCAGCATTCAGCAGAAAGGGACGTCCTATTGGGGCACAGAGGCTGAACACCGGCCAGGAGCCCCTCCAAGCACTGCTGAAAACCCCGCACCTCTCAAAGCCCTTTAACTGGAGCTTTAAAAAAAATATTCTTGTTCCCGACGTGGCGAGTGTCGCGCTTGATGCCCAGAATGACTCAATTCTCCCCCCCCCACACACACACAATACCAAAATGCCCTTTGAAACATTTGCTAGAAGCTGGTTCCATCCCCCAAGCCCCTGAACCCCCCAGCCCCTTGTGTGTATTCTTGTTCTGCTGTAATAATCCACATCCCAGCTGCCTCTCTCCCCCCCTTCACCCTCCGCCTCTCTCCTCCCCCCTCCCCCTTTCCATAACTCAAAAGCTTGTCAGGCTGGTTCCAGACTGCTGGCGCCAGGCTTCACTCCAGGAAAAAATAAAGCAAGAGAGAAAGGCATGTGAGGCAAAACAGCCCCGCCACATGAACACACATCAAACCGGCCCTTTATCTCCCCGGAATGTTCCCTCTCTGCCTCTGCAGTGCTCTGCCCTCCCTCCCTACCCCAGCTCCCCCCAGACACAGCACTCCCCGCAGCCAGCATCGCTCTAACCCTAATGCAGCACAGCCGGGCTGAAAACACACACACAGCGCACAGCCAAGCTGAAAACACACACACACACACACACAGAGCACTCCACGCAGCCAGCCAGAATTGCTCTAACCCTAATGTAGCACAGCCAGGCTGGAAACACACACACACACACACACACACACACACACACACACACACACACACACACACAC